GACTCTAGAATTTAATTCTAATGAGAGGCTGAACCTTTGTCTTAGAGGCAGATTACACAAAGAATAAATTAACCCTTTAACTCAGAAATCAAAGATTTTTGTTATTTTAACAGTGAGAACCTCAATTCTTTGTTTTATATATTATTTAATGTTAAAGCTCCTAAAAATCTCATAAATTAAACCATTAAACTTTAGTCAGACAGATAAAAACTTTTAAAACATATCAAAAAATTTCTTTTTAATAAACCTCTATATCTCTTATAGTACATCCTTTTAAAATGGCAAAAATGAACACACTCATTAGCAGACCCAAATATATATATATGTATCCTTTTTTGTGTGCTATAATAAGCAAAAGTGAATAAACTTAAATTTTGACGATATCTATATTTACTTAATTTAATATTTGTAAGTTACCTAAAAGGTCTCAGAAATTATTTTAAGCTTGTATACCATAAAACATAATTGTTGAAACAAAGTTTGTTCAAACATTCCAAGTTTTATTCAAGTTTTACTATTTTTCTTATTTTTCTCAATCTAATTTTAGCCCTTAAAGATTTTGTCAATCAGCTTTGGAAATCACAAAGTCACTGTTCAACTTACCAATTCATTGATATGTATATAACCTTAAGTCTCTGGCTAGGGGTGGAAACATCTTCTAGGCCATTTTAGTTATGCCTCATTGTGATTGCTATTTTTGCTTCTTAGAGTTCCCCCATGATACAGAGAACTTATTTATAGTTCTTTTATGATTTGAGATCTACCTCATTTTTTGTAACTATAGTAAAGCAGCAATTTTTTCTTATTTTCTTTTGTCTTAAAAAGTTTCCATTTATTTGGAAGGATTTTCAAAAGCTTGCCTACAGCTATATGACTTCAGAGACTGAGGGCTGGGGAGGCTTGATCCTGTCCTGCCCTTACTCTCTTGACTCATGGAAGACAAGATTGGGTCATCCCAATTCATTTACATATGTTTAAGTTGACCTAGGCATTTTGAAGGGCTATCTACCCAGTAAATACCAAAGCTCTTTAGCAATTTTGTAAATGAATCCATCAGTTCTTGGCTAGGGAGACTGGGGGCTGGGGAGATCTGATCCTGCCCTGCCCTCACTCTCTCAACTCAATTCACAGAAAAAAAAACAGGTTCTAGATAAAACTTATTAACTTGCCAGAGCCTCAGATGGAGAAATATTAGACCTTTTGACAACACCTGGCGTCAAGCACAAATTCCCCAAAAAAGGAAAAGACAGAACAACACAAACGGAAACTCATTTTCCCAAAGTGGTCACTGAAATTCTAAATTGTTTCTAGTATGTTCAGTTTATAGTGTTTTTAAATATGAACCCTAAACCAGTGTCTCAGTAGCAGGGGGAAATCCAGGCTCATGTATCAAAAATATTAAGCTCTAATGTTCAAGCTTTTGGTTTTCCTTCTTTTGAACTTAATTCATTCCGCTGGCTAGAGACCTAGTCTCTTATTTTAGACCTTAAGTATACTAGCTTCTTCAATTGGAAAGTATTTTGAAGTAGCTACTGATGATTTTAATTTTAACATTGTGATCCTTTATTGGGAAACTATATCATAAAACAGGTACAGAGCTACCACACTTCTCCCTGTGAATTTCATAACACAAGTCAGGAGCTACCACCTCGTCCTGAGAATTTGGCAAAACAGCACTATTTCCCAGGTTTTCTCTAGTGTTCTAGCCTGTCTTCAGACCAGTTTATCCTGTCACAGGAGTCTTTAACGCTTGTGATGAGCACCACCTATCACCCTAATGGCTTTTACTGGTCAACTTGTGTGCCTGAATTTTGTAGCTTATAGTGACCTAGAGCTCTTTGAAAATAGACTTACCTCTTTCATGTTTCAAGCACCCGAATCTGGACACTAAACTGCAGTTCACCAAAAGAGTTAGTAAATGTCACTCTTAACCAAACAATCAAGCAAAAATCTAAGAAAGAGTCTCCTTAATCAAACAACTGATTTTCAAAACAAATATGCAAAACAAAACTTAAGAAAACATGAGAAAGAGAACAAAAAGAGTAAGCAAAGGCTCATTTTCCGAGGGTACTCACCCTACTGGTGTTGAAGGGACATGGAGTTCAAACGTGTGGGTCCAGAAGATAGGACTTCTCTCTGCTGGCTTTTGCTCCACAGTCCAGGTCTCCTCCAGGTCAACTGGATTCGTGGCTTTAGAATCCCTGCAACAACTACACCATTAACTCTTGTAGGGTGAAAACACTACAAAGTTTAGTAAAGCAAAAAGAAAGGTTTTATTTGGCATGTATTTGAAGGGACAAAAGTGGGATGGACAAGCGTGCTGCCAGAGTCATGTCTGCCTGAGTCCCTGTTCCCAGTTCTTAAGGATGCATCTTAGTGGGCTGCATTCTGGGATCACTTGAACATGCCCCATTCTCTGGATACACACACACACTCACACAACCTAATCTGGTGCACCAACCTAACAGGTACCTAGAGCCTTTTATGCCCTCAACTGTCACTTCCTCCCACTTCTTAGGTCTCTTCTAAGGCCTTACCTAGGAATTACCAAATAACCCAGGTGCATTTCATGCCTCCCACTAAAAAGCCACCATTGGTCCGAGGTGGATCGGCTTCCAGAGCTGCTCCAGGGTCTCCAGGAGAAATCTCCTGGTGGCGTCAGACATAGGGCTGGTCTATTGTCTGATCCACCTCAGGAACGGAGTGGATGGCTCCTGGCTGGCTCACCAGAAATGTTATCAGGTGGACAACAGAAAGTCCCTGATGGAACAGGAGAAAAGTGGGGTGCAGAACTCAAATTCTAGTAAAAAGACTAGACCTAATCGTCTGACTGAGACTGGAAGGACCCCGGAAGACATGACCCCCAGACTCTCTGTTAGCCCAAAACTAAAACCATTCCTGAGGCCAACTTTTCAGACAAAGATTAAACTGGACTATGGGACATAAAATGGTACTCGTGAAGAGTGTGCTTCTTAGCTCAAGTAGGTACATGAGACTAAATGGGCAGCTCCTGTCCAGAGGTGAGATGAGAAGGCAGAGAGGGTCAGAAGCTTGTTGAATGGACATGGGGGGGAACTGTGGGGTGGAAAGGAGGAGTGTGCCATCACAGTATAGGGAGAGCAACTAGGGTCACATAACAATGTACGTATAAATTTTTGTATGAGAGACTAACTCGAGTTGTAAGCTTTCATTTAAAGCACAATAAAAAGAGATGTTACCAGGTGGAAACCTCAGGCTCTGCCCAGAGTGACTCGAATTTGTCAATAAACGAGAGACCGAAGTAGGAGCACAGGAAAGACACCTTTATTCCTTTGCGCAAGGAAAAGCAGTCAGAGCTGCTGCCACCAAGACTGCTCTCCCACAGCTAGGGGAAAAGTTACTGTTAAGGGAGTTCATACAAGTTACGTGAGCAACATTCTTAATCATACTAGGCAGGCGCAATGGAGTTTACTTACAACTTCCAAGCAAAGAAGAATTTCAATGCAAAGCTGTGGGGGAGGAAGCCAAGCAAAGAAAAACAGTATTTTGATGCAAACCTGTTTCAGGTTCTGTCTTAACTATGGCTCCATGTTTAGGACCAAATAAGACCATACACATCAAGTTATTAGACCAGTGCCTGGCACATAATAAGCATTATGTTTTTGTATTAGGATAGTTATTACTTTTGCGCAGTACCAGACACGCCCTCATCAGCCAACTGACATTAGCTCAGATGGACAAAGAGTAAGAAACGCCACAGAAAAACGTGTAACAGAAAAAGGCAGGAGTTGGGACGAGGTATGAGTGGAACGCTTCTGCGCCTACGGCTGGAGAGATAACAGCGGTGAGATAGTGGTGGGCAGCAACGGAGGAAGTCATTGGCTGGGCTAGGAAATCTCATGAGGCGGCATGGGTCCTCCGACCTTCTTTCTATTGGAGGGGATGGGAACCAAGAGAGCAGAGAGAAGGACAGTAGCGAACGGATGGCAGGAGACCCTTTGCCCAAGGACCTTGGGCGTCAATGCCAAGAGGGAAGAGAAGGTGCCGCGCAAAACTGCTGGTGGTCAGCGGGCGTAGTGGGTGGGCAGCAAGCGGCCCGCGACGCCCCACCCCCGTCCTCCCCCCGCCTCTTCTTCGCCTCTCTGTCGGCCCGTTACCAAGGGGATGGGTCACCTGACGGCGGCGCCGCCGCGCCTGCGCGGGCGGAAGGCGGGGGGCGGGTCGTGACAAGCTTGAGGGCGGCTGCTCGCAGTTCTCCACTCTACGGGTCTTGGAAGTCTGTTCCTGGACGTGGAGGAGGCGGCACCCAGCGGATCTCTGCGGCCTAGGTGAGCGGCTCTGGGGGAGGGGTGTCTCCGTTCGGCGTTCCAGGCGGAGGACGAGGGAAGGGGGCGCGGGGGCGCCGGGCTACCTAGCGGGAAGCGTCCCGGGGCCCCGGTTTCAGGCGGTGGCGCTTCCTACTTAGCGCCCTCCCGCGCCCCGGGGCCCGGGAGGAGGTTGGCGGGCGCGGCGCTCAGCCTGCCGCGGCCCCGCCGCCTTTTGGGTTGGCCCGGTCCTTCTCGACCCTTTTTGTTCCTTCACGATAAGGTCTCCAGAGATCAGTGAAGAACGAACCGCTGGTTCTCATCCATCACGGGCTTTACATTCCTTGGTTGTACATAATCGCCTCCTGGCTTAGTCGGAACGTCCGGGATTTGGAGGAGGAAGGAGGTGTTTGTTTAGTGGGCGAAGCCTTGGCTTTCGGGAAGGGATGGGAGAGAGGCTGTGCGCTGATTTCTGGAGAAGTTGGAGGAAAGGGAGAAACGTTGCCAGTAGGGTGTGTTCGGAAGGAAATATCCTTTGAGTCTCGTGACTTAGAGCTTTCGTATCAGGATTTCATTGTAATAATAAAGAAGTGAAACATATGGATATGGAAAGTTTCAGTGTTCACCAGAGTGGAATTATTGAATCATGGGGTCTTCTAATGTGCCGATTTTTGAAGGGAATTTCCAGGTTTATCTAGTCTATATATATTATCTGCATGCACAGTTACTGTTATTTTTTCCATTACATAAGTACATTCTTAGTTTGCCATACTCTTAACATGCGCTGCTTCCAAGGAGACAGTTGATTCGAAAGGAAAATTACATTGAAAAACAGCTGCAGTCTTTGTCAGTTAAATTTACCTCAAATGTATGTAAGTGATTGGTTAAAACTTAAATTTGTCCAGTCTTTTTATTTTTCTATTTGAGGTTTAAGAACAAACAGTAAAAAATGTGAGTGCCTCATTTCCTGTTACCAGCTTAGTTCTGTAAGCTTTTGTGCTTTGAATGGTACATAAATATTAGAGATCAAGTGGTTTGTGCCACAGAATAAAAATCAGGAAGTGAATAACTTTTAAAAGGTTCGGGAAGTAATTGTTCCATTATGATCTAAATTTAACTTTGGCAACATTAATTTTTTGTTCTGTTTTGGGCGTTATGAGAAAGGATATAAAAATCATTGACCAAAAGGGGATGATTTTAGTAATAGCTGGCAGTTAAATGTACTGTTTAGTAAAACAGTTCCTTAAAATGAGCGTGACTCAACTTTTTTTTCCTCCTGTTTTTGCCAAACTTAGGTACTTTTCTTTGGGTAGTAAATGCCCAGAGTTTCTTAAAAGAGATTTCCCCATACAACTTTAAAATATTTTTTTAGATCTCCTCGTTCCTGTTGAGTAGATTCCGAATCATAGCAACCCTATAGGACAGAGTAGAACTGCCCTACAGGGTTTCTAAGGAGCCCCTGGTGGACTCCAACTGCTGACCTTTTGGTTAGCAGCTGAGTTGTTAACCACTGCAACCACCAGGGTTCCTTCAGGTGCCTTCAAGTTGACTCCAACTCATGGCAATCCCGTGTGTGTCAGAGTAGAACTGTGCTCCATAAGATTTTCAGTGGCTGATTTTTCTAAAATTGATAGCCAGGCCTTTCTTTTAAGATTTGGCTAGGTGGACTTGTGGCATAGTGGTTAAGAGCTGTGGCTGCTAACCAAAAGGTCAGCAGTTCAAATCCCCCAGGTGCGCCTTGGTAAGCCGTATGGGGGAATTCTACCCTATCCTATAGGGTTGCTATGAGTTGGAATCGACTTGATGGCAGTGGGTTTAGGTGGGCTTGACTCGATAGCCTTTTGATTAGCAGCCAAGTATGTTAATCTTTTGCACCACCCAGGGATTTCCTAGTTATATTAGCATTTATTAATTTCTTTACAAGTGTTGCCAAATTTTTTTTGTGTGTAGGTGTATTTACTTTTTTGAGAAAGAAATACAGTGACATGGTTCAAAATTTAAGCCATAAAAAAGGTTGAAAGTCTCCCTCCGTCTGTGTCTCCTTGTCAACCATTTTCCCTTCTTGCAGACAACCAACTTTTAAAAGTTTCTTGGGTATCTATCCAGGTGTAGTTCATACCTCTATAAGAAAGCATATATAAGTATACTTTCTCCTTCCTTTCAGTATAAATGTTAGCATATTACATACACTACTCTACATCGTGCTGCTGTTTTTCTAGTTTCTTCACACACAAGTATATTGTAGACTAAAAACCTGAAGGGATTACTGGGTAGGAGGGTATCTGCGTTTATAATTTTGATACATACTGATGGAGGCTATATTAGTTTACACTCCCATAGTAATGTTTGAGAGTATTTCTCCCTTACTGTCAGTATATTGTCAAACTTTAGATTTTTGCCAGTCCTATAGGTGAGGAATAAAATCATATGGGTAAAAAGAAATTCTTGTACTCAGAGTAGACTTCAATGTGACCATAATTTCTCAGTGGTTAATCATCAGAATCTCCCTGAATATTTATTAAAAACGCAAGTTCCTAAGCCGTTCCATGAAGTTTCTCATTTAGTAAATCTGTGTCAGCCTGGGAAACTATGTTTAACTAGTGCCCCAGGTAATTCTGATGATTAGCCAAGTTTGAGAAACATTGCCCAGGTAGGCTGTAAAGAACTATATCAGAGTGTGTTGCTTGACACCTGTCTTAGTTATCTAGTTCTCCTATAACAGAAATACCACAAGTAGATGGCTTTTTAACAAATAGAAATGTATTTTCTCACAGTTTAGGAGGCTACAAGTATGAATTCAGGGTGCTGGCTCTAGAGGAAGGCTTTCTGTCTGTCAGCTCTGGAGGAAGGTCCTTGTCTCTTCAGCTTCTGTTCGTTGGAGATCTCTCTGTGGCTTCTATCTCTTCCCCCATCTCTGCTCTACTAGCATATTTAATTTCTTTTGTATCTTGAAAGAGATGGACTCAAGATACACCCCACCCTAAGCTTGTTCATTAACATAACAAAGACAGCCCATTCCCATATGGGATTATAATCACAGGCATAGAGAGTAGGATTTACAGCACATATTTTTTGGGGACATAATTCAGTCCATGACATTCTACCCTTTGGCCCCCCCAAAATTTATGTCCTTTACACATGCAAAACACATTCACCCCATTACATCATCCCAAAAGTCTTAAATCAACTCCAAGGCCAAAATCTCATCTTCTGCATCATCAAAATTAAATCTGGGTGAGGTTTTAGGTGTACTTCATCCTGGGACAAAATTCTTCATCTGTGAACCTGTGCAATCTAGATTACAAGTTATCTGCTTCCACAATACAATGGGAGAACAGGCACAAGGTAGACATTTCCATTACAAGTGGGAGAAATTGGAGGGAAAGAAGGGATAACAGGCACCAAAAAAAAAAAAAAACAAACCTGTTGCCGTCGAGTTGATTCCGACTCATAGTGACCCTATAGGACAGAGTAGAACTGCCCCATAGAGTTTCCAAGGAACACCTAGTGGGTTTGAACTACCGACCTTTTGGTTAACAGCCGTAGCCCTTAACCATTATACCACCAGGGTTTCCAACAGGCACCAAGCAAGTCCAAAACCCAGCAGAAGACATTATGTTAGCTCTCAAGGCTTGAAAATAATCCTCTGTTCTCTTAGACCATCTAGGTAATGGCCCTGCCCTCCGGACAGGGCCATGACCTCTGGATTCTGGGTGTAGGTCCCTTGGCCCTGGGCCTCAGCTCCACCTTCCAGGTCCACTGGGATGGCAACTGTGGTCCCTCAGCTTTGGATAGCCCCATTCTCCTGGTCCTTCTGAGTGGCAACAAGATACACCCTACACTAATCCTACTTCATTAACATAACAAAGACAGCTCATTCCCAAATGGGATTATAACCACAGGCATAGAGGTTAGGTGGGCATAATTGAATCCATAACAATACCCCGTATGAACCATCTGGGATTCTTATGTACCCTTTGTATACTAGGAAACATTGTTATTACCATTTAGTATGTGGGTCCTATGGACACTTTAAAAATATATTTTTAAGTAATTTTAAAAGTAATTTTCAGTAGTGAAAATAAAGGGATAATGAAGAATAACTTTATTAGAAAATTTCATATGAATTTGAACATAGGAAAACCGTGTTTCCAAGTTATCCTGGCTTTGAAGGCCTATGTATCTGAAATGGGCAGCCTCCTTTGAATACAGCTAAGTGCTTATCAACTGTCATGCATCAACCTAGAACATACCATCTTAGAAAAAGTGGTTCTAGATTTCAAACACCGGGTTCTAGCTTATTATTACTTACACATCTTCTTGCATTTGCAACCTGCATCATCAAAATGCAGTACTGATTCCATATTTCAAATATACCTCTGATAGATTCTGTCATTAAAAACCAGAACCAATTGTTGTTGAGTCGATTTCAACTCACGGATACCCCATGTATGTCAGAATAGAACTGTGCTCCATAGGGTTTTCAGTGACTGATTTTTCAGAAGTAAATTGCCAAGCTTTTTTTCTGAGCCACCTGTGGGTGGACTGAAACCTCCAATCTTTCAGTTAGTAGCCCAGCATTTTAACTGTTTGCATCACCCAGGGACTCTGATTCTATCATTACCTGACATCCATTGCCAGTGAGTCGATTCCAACTCACAGTGACCCTATAGGACAGAGTAGAGCTACCCTATAGGATTTGCAAGGCTGTGATCTTTACTGAAGCTGACTGCCACATCTTTGTCCCTTGGAGCAACTTCTGGTTTGAACCATCAACCTTTTGGTTAGCAGCCCAGCACTTAACCACTGTGCGACCAGGGCTCCTGATTCCTGCACTTCATCGTCAAATTGCAGTACTTTTGAAAACTTAAGTGGCTCATAATTCTGTCAAGAGGATGACCATCTTGTTTGCTCTGTAACTGCAAAAAAAAAATTTATTTATACAATTGTAAACACCTATTAAAATAATGCAATGAGTTTTTTCATGTCTGCATTATCTTTTTTCCTTACAATCACCATTGTGATTTTGTTGTATTATGTTCAGTGAAAGCTTTAAAAAAAAAAAAAAAAGCTATAAAGTGGAGTCTCCAAACTTACGTAACTTCTTGAAAGCAGATACGGTACTTTGCGTAGTGCAAACAGAAGGATGACATGACAGTGACGATTTATTTCACTATTGCATCATTCTAGGTGATTATATTGTGACTTTAGTTATTTTTAATGTAGTTGAGAGTAACTGATGAATAATGATGAAGTAATTTCTATGATAAAATAGTGAAATGCTCAAGATATAGAAAAGTAAGTTGATTAAGATCCTATAATGTATCTTAGATTTATAAAAGGATCCCATGAAACACATGAAATTTGTTAGAATGAGTTTTATTCTGTTTACAAGACAAAACTGTTTGTTCTTTGGAAGACATCTAAAAAAGAATAAAAGCCATGAAATAAAATTACTCAAAAAAAGCAACTCAAAATTTAAAATTGGGCCCATAGGACCCTGATGGTATACAGAGGGTTAAAGAGCAGATACTTGAGCCCTGTCTCAAGCGTTCTGTTTCAGTTTCTGGGGCTAGGACTCAGGAATCTGTGTGATTAACAAGATTTCCACATTATTTGGATATACTTTAAAGTTGAAAAACCACAGTTTTAGGACCTTAAGATGGTTTTAAATTTTCTACCATATGGTAATACTTTAGGCCTTAATGAGCATTTCATTCACTGTCTGTGCCATTGAAAAAGGTTTTGTAACATTTTTCATTTTACAATAATTGAAGCTAACTAGGTTACCTCTGTGTTTAAATAAGGGAATAATTTGATATGCTGCATTCATATGGAAATGATTTATGGGACAAAAATATTCAACCCCTTTGCTATTAAAGGTAGAGAAATATAGCCAGTAGTAGCAGACATTTAAAGTAAAAATGTATCCATAGATTTTTACCTGATAGAAAAGATTTTTTGATGTTTCAGTATATCATAGTTGAACTGAGATTCTGGAAACTAGAACTTGGGTCTTTTTATTCTTACCACTGTATTTTTGACCAGGGAACTACTCCTCTGTTGTATACTGTCGACTTCTTATTGTAAGTAATAAAAGCTACTTTCCATGTGCTGATGTGTGTTCAGGTGCTGATTGGAGGACTTCATGCTTATGGAGCAATCTGTATTAATTATTAGTTTTCCTTTTTCTAAGGGCCTCCTGGCAACCTGAGAGTACGTTGCAAATTTGCCCTGTTGCAACTCAGATTTGGTGTAGCAAAGCAGGGTCAAGGTTCATCCATGTTACAGCATGTATTAGAACATCTTTTCTTTTTATGGCTGAGTAGTATTCCATTGTATGTATGTACCACATTTTGTTGGTCCATTCATCTATTGATGGACATCTGGGTTGTTCCACCTTTTGGCTATTGTGGGTGGTACGACAATGAACATTGTTGTACATGTGTGTGTCTGCATCACTGCTTTCAAGTCTCTTGGATGTATATCTATGAGTGGAAGGTCAACACAATTTGAACAAACCTGAAACAAAATATTTTTCTTACAATACTTAAATAGAAAATAAATTTGGGTGTTATTTAAAAAAAAAACTTGAAAAGCCCATTTCTCTTCAAGGGCTGGAGTTGGTGAGTATGGATGGCCTGGAAGAGTTTTCAGACATCTTCAGTTATTATTTGTTTCAAGAAGGGTTTCTATGGGGGAAAAAGGTTAGAAGACCACTGATTGAGTTCATCCAGTTCATTTTTCATGAAGAATATGGGGCTTTGTAGTTGGCCAGTGTCAGAACCAAAAATAGAAACCAGTACTATACTACCAATCAACATTCTTTCCAGTACATTTAAGATGATTTTTATTTATAGAAGTCTGATTTACATGTAGTTTTTTTCTTTTCTGTTTTTATTTTTTAGGAGCCTATCAAGTGGATAAATTCAGAGCAAAAAACTTCCCGCCCCCTTCCAGGGAATTTATAAATGACAGAATCAACAGATAGGATATAAGTATGATATTGATAAAATGGTTGAGAGTTTAAATAAAGTATAAACAAACATATTTAAGGGGAAGGCTTCTAGGAGAACTGGTACTGTTGGGACACTGAGAAGATATTCCACTGTTTTCCTGGATTATTAAAATTAAGCCATATTTGATTATGATCTCTCAGTTTGTGTTTTATTCATAAATCTAGATCCTGTTTTTCTCTTAAATGTATCAGACCACTTTTATTCAGCATTACAGTTGAGTTTCTAGCCAGGGCAGTTAGCCGAGAAAAAGATGTAAAAGTCATTTCCAAATTGACTGTGTTTTGTATATAGAAAATCCTAAAGAATTCACCAAAAAACTATTAGAGCTAATAAATAAATGAGTTCAGAAGGTTGCCGGATACAAGATCAGTATACAAAATGAGTTTTATTTCCTTACACTGGCAATGAACAATCTAAACATGAAATTAAGAGAACAGTTCCATTTATAATAGCATCAAAAGAATAACAGATTTAGGAATAAAAAAGTGTTAAAGGGTTGTACACAAAAAAATTGCAAAACATCATTGAAGGAAATTAAAGAGGACCTACATAAATGCAAAGAAATCTCCTATTCATGGAAAATATAATATTGTTAAGATGACAGTATCTCCAAATTGATCTACAGATTCAGTGCCCTCCCTGTCAAAATCCCAGCTACCTCTTTTGCAGAAATTGACAGGCTGTTCCTAAAATTTGTATGGAAGTTTAAGAGACTCAGGATACAGAAAACAATCTTGAAAAAGAGCAAAGTAAGATTCACACTTTCTGATTTCAAACCTTACACAAAGCTGCTGTATCAAGACTGTGTCGTACTGGCCCAAGGATTGGATTGAAAAACCAAACCGATCCTGTTGCCGTTGAGTTGATTCCACATAAACCCATACATTTATGGTCAGTTGATTTTTGACAAGGTTGCCAAGACAGTTCAATGGGGAGAAAAACAGTTTTTTCGCAGATGGTGCTAGGACAACTGGATAGCCACATGCAGAGAATGAAATTGAACGATGATCTCAGCATAAACAAGTAAAAATAGATCATAGACTGAAAATGCGAGAACTAAAGCTCTTTGAAACTTTGGAAGAGAACATAGATGTAAATCTTTATGGTATTAGATTAGGCAGTGGTTTCTTAGATATGACACTTAAAGCACAGATAACCAAATCAAAAATAGATGAAATGAACGTCATCAAAATTGAAAACTTTTGGACTAAATGAGAAGGCAATGTGCAGAAAAAGAGATTTGTATCCAGAATATATAAAGAAGTCTTACAACTCAAAGTTAAAAAAGCCCAATTTAAAGAAGTTTTGAATAGCAGTTTATCCAAAGAATATATACATATGGCTCATTAAGGAAATGCAAGTAAAAACCACGGTAAGATAACTAGTTCTTAGCTACTAGAATGGCTATAATCAAAAAAAAAAAAAAAAAGGAAAAAGTTTTGGCAAGAATATGGAGAAATTGGAGCCCTCATGTATTGCTGGTGGAAACGTAAAATGTCGCAGCCGCTTTGGAAACCATTTTGGCAGTTCCTCGGAAGGTTAATCATAGAGTTACAAAATGACCCAGCAATTCCACTCCTAGGTATATACCCAAGATAATTAAAAACATGTTTACACAAAGCTTGTATACAAATGTTCATTGGCATTATTAGCATTATTCCTAATAGCCGAAAAGTGGAAACAACACAAAATGTCCATCAGCTGATGGATAGGTAAACAAAATGTCATGCGTATATTACTCAGCCATAAAAAGGAATGAAGTACGTGCTACAGCACGGAGGGACCTTACACACATGATGCTGAGTGAGAGGAGGCAGACAGAAGGCCACGTGTGATTCCATTCATACGAAATGTCCAGAATAGGCAAACTTATAGACAGAAAATAGTTTAGTTGTTGCTGGGATCTGCGGGGAGAGGGGAATAGAGAGTAAAGGTTAATGAGTATGGGGTTTCTTTTGGGGGTGTTCAGAATGTTCTGGAATTTAGATAGTGGTGATGATTGCACAGCTTTGCGAATATACTAAGCACTAAATTGTGTACTTTAAACGGGTGAATTTTTATTAACTATAGCAGTATTGAAATAACTGGGGATTGGCTAGTAAGAAGTAGAGAGAACTTTAAAGAATGCTAGAATAGCTGATTTAAAAAGCAGCCACTCACTACTCCTATGGCTGTTTTAGAGGGCCCAAGGGAAAGGCTGCCTTTTTTCTGTGGCTGAGATCCATACCTCGTTGGAAAGGCACAGCCATTGCTCAGTGGATGGTGGAGAAGTCACCGAATTGCCATGCTGGTAGAACATACTGGAAAGTATTCCTTTTGGGTGCTAGGGGAATCCATCCACAGGCAGATGCCATGCCTCAGAACTCACTGCAAAGCCGTGTGGGGAAAGTCATTCATAGCAGGATGCCTTACAAGCATTCTGCTAGGAAGTCACTGGACAGAATGCTGGGGTGAGCTGCTAGGTAATATTGGCTGCTGTGCACTGCAGAAGTGGGGTGCTTGAGAACCCATTCCATACAGGAGAGATGCTAGAGAAGGAGCATGCCCAGTGCTGGAAAAGCTTTGCTGTCTACAGGAGCCTGGCTAGAGTATAACCCTTCTCCTCCAACTACCTCTACTGATAAAGCTTAATATCTTGCCAGCTGGCAAAAAAGAAATATTTGAAGGACCCATCTCCATTTTTGCAGCCAAGAAGGGGTGGATTGGGAGCCGGGAGGCAATAAATGTATAGCTGATTCAATCTGTGTCAAAGCGTATACTAATGTAGGATAGATTCTGGTTTTTTTTGGGTTTAATGAAAGTACTCAGCATGTGTTCATGTCAAAATAGCTAGCAAAATTTCAAAGTAAGTTTTCAACGTGTCTTTGTAATACTTTCACATAATTTTTTTTTTTTTAATTACTGCAAAAAGCAGTTTATGGTCAGTGAAAAACCGAATAATGCGGAAGCTTTTAAAGTGAAAATTTATCCATTAGCCCTTTACCTAGTCACATCTGAATGTAAAACTGTTAAGCACTTGGTGTATATTAATATTTTTCTGTATATGTGTGTGGGGGGGTTGTGTATACATATATCCTAACTGATAGAGATTTTCTAGATGGATACTACACATGAGTTATTTTTTGGTTTTTGTTGTTAGAGAAGGAAGTGTATGTGCAGTGGCCCAAAGCATTATACTTAAGGACAGTCTCCTAGCACTGGCTTAGTTTGCTGAGCACTTGTGTCAGCTAGGATAAGTCACATAACCATTTACTTTGATTTCCAAAACTTGTGAAATGAGAGGAGTTTTACTTGAAGGGAAGTTTAAAATCTGTGATTGATACAGTTCAGTAGTGCTAATAGACGGTTGGGAGGTATTTGGTAATCCTTAACTATCAGTTAACTTGGCGTATGACCTAGATGTTCATATTTTTTCATGTGTAATGTAATTTAAGTGTTTCTTATTATATTAAACATTTACTATAACATATGAATATGTTGCTGGTTATATTATACTTAAATTTCCATGACATTTGAATCATAGAATTTTTTTTTTCTTTAGAAAAATTCTGCAAAAATGTCTTTGTATCCATCTCTTGAAGATCTGAAAGTAGACAAAGTAATTCAGGTATGTTTAAGTACATTTTCTTTTTTTAATTTAACATACTGTGTCATGCATTATAGTTATAAGTGAAGTGAAGCAAAAACTTAAATAGCAAATGTATTTATTAATTTTTATATTCTATAAACCTTTATTCAGTTTTATTAATTACAGACTAAAAAAGTTATAGAAAAGTTAGTAATTCTTTTTCATTTCATTATGAACTAAGGGACGTGGGACATTATTTCTTTAAAACATGATCTAAGCTCTTCAAAGCTAGCTTGATTTTATAACCAGAATTACATACAACCTATTTAAGTTGATAAAATTCTAGCCATTTAAACCTCCCTAGTTCTGGGTTGGAGTCCTGGTGGTGCCGTGGTTAAGAGTTCAGGCTGCTAACCAAAAGGTCGGCAGTTTGAATCCACCAGCCGCTCCTTAGAAACCCTATAGGGCAGTTCTCCTCTGACCTATAGGGTCGCTATGAGTTGGAGTCGACTCGATGGCAGTGAGTTTTTTAGTTCTGTGTTAATTGGTACATTTTTCCTTTGGATCTTCTGGTATGACCGTTTTTTTTTTTTTTAAATTTATTTATTTTTTTATTGTACTTCAGGTGAAGGCTTACAGAACAAATAGTTTCTCATGAAACAGTGGTACACATATTGTTTTATGACA